TTGGTCGTTGACTATTGTCCAATTTTGGTACACTCATTTTTCCCTCATAAAAAATAGTTCATTTTGTTATAATATCGCCAATTTTAGTACAATAATCTCGAGGGGCCGGATTACGTGATGACGTGGACAAGAATTCACTAAAAAATAATTGTTATATTCCAACGAAAAATCCTATGGTAATATATTCCGATGAAAATTCCAACGGATATTCCAATGGTATAGCTTCCGTTGGAATGGTTCCAACGAAAATTCCAACGGAAAATGTGCTTTTCATTGGAATTTTAGATAGAATTTGATGATTCCAACGACTTTTTACCGTAAGAATTTTCGTTGGAATTTTTATTTCCACCCCGTTGGAAAATTCACTGTTGAAATCGGCAAAATCCAACGAAAATTCCAATGGAAACCCATTCCAACGGAACTGTTGGAATTTCCGTTGGAATCTATTGAAAAATTCTAACGGAAATAATAGTATTGAAATATCCGTTGGAATTGCCATTGGAATAATTCTTTTGAAATAGACTAGTACGTACCCCGTGTGATGCACGGGACAAAGATATTAAATGAGTTATTTTCATATCATTGTCCGTTTAAGTCTAAAAAGTAATAATGTTATTATCTATTTTCTACCTCTTTTAATCAACGTTAAGTCTAAAAAATTATTAAGCCGCCCTCTGCAAATATGCATGGACTATGGAGTTATGTGTTCGTGTCTCATAAGTCACAAACATTATGAATAACATTACAAATAATTCATTCAAACTTTTATTCATTGCAAATATATTAAAATAGTTTATATAACAGCCATTAAATACCACTTTCAATATATTTATAAATAAAAAGTACATAAAATTTCTAGTATGTTCAAATTTAAATAATTTTTTATGGGCTCAATTTTAAATCATCCAGACATTTGGTCAAACGCATAGGTGTGTTCAAATTTAAATCATTGGCATTTTGGTCGGGTGAAATTTAAATCATCTACCATGGTACTGTGATGTGTATTATATATATATACAAATTTTTTTACAAATAATATGTGCTTTATAAAAATAATAATAATAATTTCACAATATTTTAAACGTAAAATTTGGTTTTTAATCACAATAGAAAAATCATGGTAAGTTGTATTGAAAAAGGTGTTATGAGATAAAACAATTAACTAAAATAATTAAATAAAATACTTGATGGAAATAGAATGCATTAATTACCTTTGACTTTTCTTACTACTAATTCTAGTAAATAGAATGCCTTTTTATATAAGTATAGATATAGACAGTATTATGGTAAATTATAGAATGCCTTTTCTTACTACTAATTGTTAGTTGGCAAATTATGGTTTTAAATTAACAATGTCTACATGATACTATGATAGACAGTAATGCGATTTTAAAATATTATATACTAATAAACCATATCAAATCCAATAATTATTATCATTATGATTTTTATTATTAGATTAATTGATATAAATTTGTATGTTATTGAGTTTTGAAATTTTTGATAAACTAAATTTTGATTGATGTCCACCGGTCTGCATGTTTATCTCCAAAAATTTGGTATGATTTTGGTTGGATAAATAACCAAATCACGATAAAAAATAAGAGCATGGTTTTAGTTAATTACGTAGTTAGAAAATTATGAACACGTTTAAAATGTTTTGGGATAAGAGTTGTGTTTAAATAAAACTCCACATCTCTACATGATAAGAATTTGGATAAGACTAAAATTCAAATTTAATTTCAAACAACCTATGGAAAAATTCAAATGATCTACAGGATATGTTGAAAATTTTCAAAAATTTTTGATATGTTTATTATTTTTTAGGCGGAAATTCCTCTTATTTTTTTGCTTAGAATTGTTTAGGTTCCTTCTTTATATAATAATAGATTTGTATAAGACTTCAAATTAATTCATAAATAATTTTAAAAAAAAATCTTAAAATAGTATGTAATAAATGCTTTCATAAATTTTTGGATTATTATTTTTAGTAAATAGTAATTCTTTATATATATACTAGTACGTACCCCGTGCGATGCACGGGACAAAGATATTAAATTGGTTATTTTTATAGCCTTGTCCGTTTAAGCTAAAAAAGTAATAATGTTATTATCTATTTTCTACCTCTTTTAATCAAAGTTAAGTCTAAAAAATTATTAAGCGGCCCTCTGGCAAATATGTATGGAGTTATGTGTTCGTGTCTCATAAGTCACAAACATTATGAATAACATTACAAATTATTCATTCAAACTTTTATTCATTGCAAATAAATTAAAATAGTTTATATAACAGCCATTAAATACCACTTTCAATATATTTATAAATAAAAAGTACATAAAATTTCTGGTGTGTTCAAATTTAAATAATTTTTATGGACTCAATTTTAAATCATCCAGACATTTGATCAAACGCATAGATATGTTCAAATTTAAATCATTGGCATTTTAGTCGGTTGAAATTTAAATTATCTACTATGGTACTGTGATGTGTATTTTATATATATATATATATATATATATATATATATATAATTTTTGAACAAATAATATGTTCTTTATAAAATAATAATAATAATTTCACAAGATTTTAAACGTAAAATTTGGTTTTTAATCACAATAGAAAAATCATGGTAAGTTGTATTGAAAAGGTGTTATGAGATAAAATAATTAACTAAAATAATTAAATAAAATACTTGATGGAAATAGAATGCATTAATTACCTTTGACTTTTCTTACTACTAATTCTAGTAAATAGAATGCCTTTTTATATAAGTATAGATATAATTATAAATTATTCCTTGCATAATACTAAGAGACGCGTCATATATCTTAGTAACAAATCCGTTTTTATATTTGGGAAAGAGACGCATGATTTAAATGAGGGACGCGTGAATTTTCAAAATGTAAAAAGATATGAACAGATTTGGATCAACTCTTGCCATACACATTTTATTTCCCACGTTTTATGGGAATGTTTTTACCAAAAATGTTCTTATGAGATTAAAAAAAAATTACACGTACAACTTGAAAAATAAAAATCAGATTTGTGAGCAGCTCTTTCCATACACGTTGTATTTATTGATCTTATGAGATTTTTTTACCAAAATGTTTGAATGAGATAAAATAGAAAACATAACACACGTAATTAATGTACTTGTTAAGATTAGAAACTCATTAATTATATTTGACTTTTCTACCTACTGGATTTAGTAAATAGGTTTACTTTTAATATAAGTATAGATATATAGATATGTTCATTCCATTATTATAATTCTTTAAAAGATTTATAACAAATCCAAAAAAATAGATTTACTAATGATTTTTTCCCTTCACTTATTAAAGATATCTAATTTATTGGGTTTCATGTATGGAATGCATTTCTTTCCTAAATAATTTGGATAAGATTTCAAATTAATTCCTAAATAATTTTTTTAATAAAATCTTAAAATAGTATGTAATAAATGTTTTTCTAAATTTTTGGATTACTATTTTTAGTAAATAGTAATTCTTTTGATATAGATATAGATTTTTGTTAGAATTTCATCATTTTTTTTTATAGTGATTGAAACGACGTGGATGGATAGAACTTTGACGTGGAAGGATGATTGGATACAAAACAATCTTAAAATAATCCAATCATTTTTAACTCAACTTTAACTTAACCCCACTATCATCAATATTTTACTACAATTAAACAATATCAATCAATCATTCTTACACAACACATCATCTTTAATTCACTATTCACCCTCTTACATAATTTTAAGTAACCATCACTTTAACTTCTCTCTCTTACTTTTTACATCAAATCAATTTTAATTATTTTATTCTAAATATCATTTTAATATACCCACTAACAACTAACCATAAAACTTTTTTAAAAATTAACCAAACCAAATCAAAAAATCCAAACAAAACCAAAAAATTTTATATTCAATCATCCTCACACGTATTTTCCACATCATCACGTAATCCGGCTTCTCAGGATTAATGTACTAAATTTGACGAAAATTGTAACATAGTTGACTATTTTTGATGAGGAAAAGTTGGTGTACCAAAATTGGACAATGACCAACTTAGAGGATCAAAATTGGATTTTTGCCGTGATTTTCTTATAAAACGTAAAAGTTTTAATTAATTGCAACTAAAGCATGTGGATGATTTAATTTTAATGTCAATATTTCATAATCTCGCAACATAAGCTATAATTATGCCATGTCAGGCGTCACATTTTTATTTAGGTTGCGGATAAAAAAAGACCAAAATTGATAAAATTGACAAATTATAAGACCTGAAATTGAAAGTAGTCAATAGAGTGAGTTTGTGGACAAGGACCATGACTAACTTATAGGACCAAATTTTATTTGTTGTCATATTTTCGCATAGCACCTTTCCTAAGTGCCAATAGAGGAACCGAAAAATGGAGCTCAACTGATCTATTTTGTCTCGTGGGTGCAATTTGGTTTTGGATAAATTGTTTACGTTATACATTTACATATTTTTTCCGGACGATTCCGATCTTCCTTATGAGGTCGGAGTCGTGTTTTGCCAAGTTTTGTCGTTAAAAGTAATATTTGTGGTAGACAGATTTAATCGTCAGACAATCATACATACTTTCAAACTCAAATGTTACATGATAAAAAAATTAACATAAATACATTTCACAATTAAGTATGGAATTTTTTTTATATATATAAGAATTTGTATATAGTTTTTCTGTACTCAGGGGATTGCTTCATCTTAAATTATGATTTCCTTGGCACATAAGCATTCAAATACAACATATTTACGTTTTAATCGATGTGTCCATTTTTCCACCAAACCAAACTCGCTGTACTTGTTCCACAAACTAGCTTTTATTTATTTATTTATTATTATTATTTTTTTTATTTTTTTTTTGGTAAAAGTATACAGTTCCAAGTTATAAGTGTTCATTTGATGGACTACTATATATACATATTTTCCCGCCATAATTTTTGTTTGTGCACCTTTTTGTTGATCATGAGCTCACAAGCGTTCATCAGTTGCAGAAAAACGCTAGCGAATGGCAGTAGCGATATCACGGATCCTGCTGATTTATCACCATATGGCGTGCAGTTGATTCTGCAGCCAGATCATGTTAAAATATTTCAATAATCCGAAACCATAACGTTTTTTTTTTTATTATTCAAATATTTACACTCGAATTTTAATATACTTTCGTGTGTCGCAGGTTGTAATGAATAACGGCATTATTAGCCTCACATTGACTGTACCAGGTGGCGCTATCACCAGTATAACATACAAAGACAGTGAAAATTTGCTTCAGACTGAGGATAAAGACGAGGACAACGGGTAACACTACACACAATTTATTTTACAATGGTCTAACTCGAGATTTTTTGGAGTTATAATTGTCAAGTATAGTCATCCTTCAATATTTTGGTTTATCATGTAAAATTAGACATTTATAAGCGCGTATTCAATTGGAACTCTTAAAGATAGTTAAAGACTTTTAGTAGTCACGTTTTCTAAATCGGGTAAGTTTGGATAAAAAATTGCTGCGAAAGATCACGAAATGAATTTGTTGCCTACATACTTTGTCAATCGATTGCGTGTTGAACTGAATCTTGACAGGCACTGGAATATTGTTTGGAACAAGCAGGAAGGGAAGGCCACTACCTTTGACAAGTAAGCATCTACATCTTATTTCATATCAAAATTTGACAATATTCCGTAAAAATTGTAACTTGTTTTGATGCAGGTTAGAAGGAACAAATTTTAGTGTAATTGTGCAAAACGAGTCTCAAACAGAGATTTCATTCACCAAAACATGGGGAGATGGCAGCTCAGATGTTCCCTTAAACGTCGACAAAAGGTAAAAGAAATAAGTTTGAAAATAAATCTCTGCAGCTCCCAAGTGTACAGTATATAAATTGTACAATACACTCTGATTATTTATTGATCTATTACAAATGGCCGGCTAAGAAGATATGTAGTGCTGCGTGATTCCCCTGGCTACTATTCATATGCTGTGCTCGAACGTTTACAAGGATGGCCGGCTTTTGACATCTTGGAAGGGCGAATTGTTTTCCAACTCCAGAAAAACAAGTACTTGGAAAACATTTTTTAAGTTTGTTTAATTAAAAAATATTTTTATGTAAATGAGTATTTATTGAATTACCTATTCAGGTTTCACTACATGGCCATGTCTGATGAGAGGCAAAGGTTTATGCCGATGCCTGAGGATCGGGTGACAGGGCAAGTGCTCGATTACAAGGAAGCCGTTCTCTTAACAAACCCAATTAATCCTGAATTCAAAGGAGAGGTAATATTTTCTGCATTTATTAATAATGTGTACTATGAGGTAAATTGATGTAAGTTAATTAATGTTGTTTGCTTATAATAGGTGGATGATAAATATTTTTACACGTGCAACAACGAAGACAACAAGGTCCACGGATGGGTAAGCAATGATGATCCTCCGGTGGGCTTTTGGTTAATAACACCGAGCAACGAGTTTCGCACGGGTGGACCCATCGGACAAGATCTTACGTCTCACGTAGGACCATTCACGCTAGCTGTAAGAATTATTTACTGTGCTATATAAGTCATCCAATGGCCTCCTATAGGCTATAAGCTTCTTGATCTAACCAGAGCATGAAATATGGCCATTAGTGATTATATTCTTGTTTGTGCAAGAAATTTAGCAGCAGACATTATGCCGGGGAGGATTTAGCTATCAAGTTCGAAAGTGAAGAGCACTGGAAAAAAGTCATTGGCCCATTTTATATACATCTCAACTCTCATGACTCTGCAAGTGCCGATCCTTCTGTACTATGGGACAAAGCCAAACAAAGGGTACTGTGCTTTCGTTGTAACTATCGGTTATCTGCAATGATGTATTTTGGATACAAATATACAATTGCATTGTTTTACTTGAATCGGACTAAAGTAATGCATGAATTTCAGAAGTGACTGCTTAGAGATCTAAATCTTTGTTCTGATCAGATGGAGAAAGAGGTGAATAACTGGCCTTATGATTTCCCACTTTCGAAAGAATTCATGAAATCCAGCCAAAGAGGGTCGTTAAGTGGTCGATTGCTCGTGCAAGATGGGTAAAGTATTTTATCGTAAACTTAGTTATCAGTTATCACATTTTGGCGGTACACACAATTTATCCCTATATTTAGTTTGAGCATTTGGTTCGTGTACTTTAGGTTCCTGAACGAGGATGATATCCCAGGTACCTCAGCCTACGTGGGGTTAGCTCCACCAGGATCAGCCGGCTCGTGGCAATACGGAAACAAGGTTTGTTTATTTAAGTCGTATATTACATCCTTATTTTACCATGCACTTCATTAAATGAATGAATGCTCCATTTAATCAAAGGTATAATTTAAGCTCCTTTTACTTGACGGCTATCTAATCGACTTTGAAATGAACGTTCGGTTTCAGGGCTACCAATTCTGGACACATGCAGATGACAGAGGTAAATTTGTGATCAAGAACGTGATACCAGGAACTTACGGCCTGTTTGCATGGGTACCTGGATTTCTCGGTGATTACAAGCATGACTCTGACGTCATCATCATCACCCCCGGATCGAATGTCGTAATGAAAGACGTTATATTTAGACCTCCTAGAGTGGGCCCCACACTGTGGGAGATCGGAATCCCTGACCGCTCGGCTGCCGAATTTTTTGTACCCGATCCTGACCCTAAATTCAAGATCCATCACTACAGGGCACCCATTCAAAAGTTTGTTTTCCTGATAAGCTCATTCTTGTGATTATTTTGAGCTAATTTACAGTGCAGATATTCAAAAGTTTGTTCTGTTTCTTTATTATCAGGTTCCGACAATATGGGCTGTGGACCCGTTACAGTGATCTATACCCAGAAAAGGACTTGACTTTCACAATTGGCACAAGCAATTACACATTAGACTGGTTTTATGCCCATGTTACGCGGTACATTTCGAAAAATTTGATCCTATTGGTTGACAACACGTGTTTTATCGTTGGATCTACACATACCCATGTGGGTTTGTGTTAGAATGTGTGTTATCTAACGGTTAAAAAAAACCTAGTAAATTCAATGCCTCGCCAATAGGATCGGATTTGCCGTACCTTTCTCTGTCCTCGTATTGCATATTGCACCTTTTAAGACATCATGAACTGCAACATAAGTTATCTGTCACAGGAATGTGGGAAATGGTCAGTATGTGGCAACAACGTGGCAAATCACATTCGACCTTAAAGACGTAAATGAAGGCTTGGATTACACTCTCCATCTGGCGCTTGCATCCGCGCAAAATGCTGAATTACAAGTACGAATATCTTCCTCCTAACTTTTATTTTATTTTATTTTTCTGTTTGGTAATGAAAGAAAGGCTGATTGCTTCACCGTCTATGTGTTTTGCATTTCAAGGTTCGTATAAACGATCCGAAATCGGCCCCACATTTCTCGACCGGGTTGATAGGAAAGGACAATGCAGTAGCAAGGCATGGGATACGAGGATTGTACCATTTGTACAGCATAAGTATACGAGGTAGCCAACTCGTTTCTGGGAACAACTCGTTGTTTTTGACTCAGGCAAATGGAGATGGGCCTTTTAAGGAAGTCATGTACGATTATATCCGCCTAGAGGGACCTGCGTCGTGAGCACATTTATTCTTTTTTGTTCTTTGCTATTATTCTCATACATGCTATATCTTCTTTGGAAAATTATACACAGATTTAGGGGAAATTGATGCGCGTTGTTTGTAATTTATTTATTTTATATTTTACTTGTACAACGCTCGTGTATTACACAGTGCTTGCTAATTTTTTCTTAAAATCTAAAATTAATGAAAAAAATGAGTTAAAAATTTAAATAGCTTTTATAAAAATATACGTTATTATATATTTAGTATGACACTTTTTATTTGTGCAACTTACACGTGTTATATTATAATATTTTTTTTAACTTACAACATATAACTACATTAAGCATAAATACATCAATTGAGAAATAATTTTATTTTTCTAATGAATTTTAATAAATATTATTATTTTTTATTATTATAAATATAAATATAATTTATTTATTTCATATATACAATATGGATGTCAAATCGAAGATCATCAAAAGATGATTAATTTGATATATTATATATGTAAAACCAATACGAAATACAGAAGTTATGGACTTTTAAAATACATTTATAATTCAATAGCTAATTGAAGGAAACAAATCAAAAGTCAGGGATATATTAGTCATTTAGTGCCTCATTATGTAAAATTACAAAGAAATAAAGGGTTATATTAGTACAAGTGATATTAAAATACCAAGTTAGCTAAATAATATTTATGGAATGTCCAAACCTAAATTATTAATTATTAATATATCAATATTATTTGTCCAAACCTAATTACGAAAAATATGATTCTTTGTCAAGTAGGATTCTGAAGTAACAGAAACAACCACGTAGGCTCAGCGCATTCGAGAATAATATATAGGGATGATTATTATTATTTTTCTTTTTGTTCTCTACTATATTTGGTATATATACAATTGGGTATGATTTATTGGCCAATGAATTAACGATAAATTTAATTGTTTTCTGTTTGGTTTAATCATCAGTTAGAAATTAATAATTTGTCCATAATTGTTCAATAATATCTGGATACTAATTTGATAGTGAAATATTGTGCAGAATTAAAAGAATGTATTCATTACAGTTATAAAAAATTGATTTCATTGTTTATATCATTGTTCCATGTTAGTATACTAATTAGTACATGCGCACATTAAAAATATATATATATATATATATATATATATATATATATATATATATAACATTAATATATCTATGTGTATAATATTTTAATTTATTAGTTAGAGAATAAGCATATCACATTTTAAAATTTTAACAAATAGACCCTAGTTCTCAATTGTCGGCTTCAATCGCCTCTCTCGGCGTCCATTCGGAGTGCCGGCGGGCTCGAGCTTCCACGCCGCCATCAGCGGCGTTTCCTCCTTTCTCTCTCTGGCTGCGGGGTGACGATGGCGTTCTTCGGCGGATTTCGTCTCTCCGTCTTTGAAGACCGCCGAAGCTCCAGGGTGGAGAGGCTAGGAGGAGTGTGTCCCAGTGGCCGGAAGCGGCTCATTGTCCGTAAAGTTCCTGTTCAGATTTCCCCTTTCCCAATCTCTGTTGAAGGGCTTAGCTCTGATGGCTGCGGATTTGCTGGTTCACACGCCGGCTCTGGTCGTTGGCGTTTTGGTGTGGCAGCGGGTGGGTTGTGGTCCGTCCCCGATGAATGGGTGGGGAGGTCGGGTTCGAGCTTGGGTCGAACCGGCTCTTATTGCCTGGCTGAAAGGTATTCCCAATTGCGGGTCTTCGGTTTTGGCCGGAGTCTGGTCTCTGATTCCTCGGTTTAGCTGGGGTGTTGGGTCGGGTTTCATCCTTTCGAGGTGGGTGGATAGGTGGTTGCTTCGGGCTGGGTTTGGTCCTTCGGGCTGGGGCAGTGCGGCTGAGCTCTGATGTCCGTTGTTCCCTTCCTCCTCTTTCTCGGTTTCCGAGTTTGTGGGAGGCCGTCTGTTCCGGAGTTGGCTAGTGGTGTTAGGCAATTTTAGGACGGTTTCGGATTAGCTAGTGGTGTTAGCCGATTGGGGGGCGATTATGATTTCTTGCGGTCGGTGTGCGGGTCGGTTTTTTCTGGTTTGTTCTAAGGCTTGGGTCTTCGCCTTGCTAGGCCTTCTGCAGTGGTAGACATAGTATCGGAGCTTCGGATCTCTCCTAGGATCTGGCTTTGTCAGCTGTCTTTCCGAATGTTTATTGCTGAGGGAGGCTGTAGGTTATTTAGTTTGTAGTTTTCGTTTTTGTGTTTTGCGTTATCTTGCTTTGGTTTGTGTTGTCTGTGTTTTAGGTTTCGGTAGTTGGCCTCAGTTAGCCCGAGTGTGACTTTATTATCCTGTTGGGACCGTAATTTTTTATTCTCCCCTTAGGAGTTTTTTAGTGTTGTAGTGTTTTCTTGTGTTTCTAGAGTATTGCCCTGTTGGGGTCGGTTCTAGGCGGACTTCGGCCCTGTCCTCCCAGTTTATTCCGCTGTTGGCTGCGTGTATTCGGCTATTGGATGCTTATATTCAGCTTTTGGTTGTACCTTGCATATTTGTGCGTTTTTTATATAAAAATTCTATCGCTCCGAAAAAAAAAAGAAAAGTAAGCAATATAAATATATATTTTATAACTTAAATATGAATGGTTTGTATGCTTTTGTTATTATTTTTTTGTGTTTATTTTATAGTATTCATTCGATCTCATCTGAGCTCGTTTGATATATCTTACGGTCCATTAGGTTGATTTTACGCATTTACATGTTTTCGTGTTGTTTGTGTATTTTGTGTATTTTTCGTCTAATTTTTTATTTTATTGGGTAGAAAAATGTTGTTCGACCAGCTGTCGAGCCACGAGTCGTGCACGCGACAGGCATCACGCGTTGGCATCACAACTAGCTGATGAGAATGGGGCTTTGGGACTCCAAGGACGAGAGTGGTCAAGAGTCGAGGCGACGTAAGCCAGCGAGCACGAGGGCGCGAATGCGAGACGCGTACAAGGGACCGAGACCCAAGCGACAGTAGTAGGCTACAAGCAGGTCGAGGGTATAGACCGCGGGCGAACGCAAGAGGCCGCGAGAGAGCGCGCAAGACAACGCGTTGTAATGGGCGACCCACCAACGAGCAGACGGGGGATGAGCAGGCGCGACTGCTAAGTTGATTTTAGCCGAGTATTGAGTAAATCCCGATATTGGGTTGTGTCTCTCGATAAAGGTGATTCGGAGCATCGTTCACTAGTTAATTGCCCAAAGCACAAAAAATGAAAAATGCAATCCTAAACATTCTATCAAGATGATTGAGGGTTGAAATACGACTAATTAAAGCTAAGAATCGAGAAAAATGAAATAAAGGCGAGAGCTTTAAGGGAAAAAGTAGGAATTATGGTTGATGGGAGTCTTTATCACTCAAGAAAATGCAAATAAACAAAGAAAAATATGCTACCTAAGTTCGTAGGTAATTAACACAAGTTTTCATAACTTAAAAGATTGAGTTTTAACCAAAGTTTCAAATTTTAATACAAGATAAACAAGTATTTAACTCCTACAATCACTTAGGTACGCAATGAAAATAAAAAGCTTCGAACTTTACCTCATTGAACAAGCAAATACCAAATTCATCTTGAAATACTTCATAAGCAAAATATGGAACAAATACGGAGTAATAAGGCTTAAAGATAAGTACCCACTCTCTCAATGCATGTGTGAAGAAAACTGGAGTGAAAAACTCGAATCTTGCAATAAAACAAACTAGCTGGAATCTCACCGGAAAATAAGAGTCATAGAACTCACAACACAAAATATGGAGAGAAAATATAAAAAGAGCTTTTCACAAGAGGGAAATAAAATAAAATGAGAGTTAGCTCCCAAAATACAAATGAATACATGTATTTATACTACACCTAAAACACACACAAACACACAAATTTAATAAGACACTCGCGAGTAAAATGAATTTTGCGAGCAAAACATGAGAATTTGCTCAGGTCGCGAGTGTTTTTGTGTGCATAGGTGCTGGAGGCGTGGAATTCGCAACGCGGGCGAGATAGGACTCGCGGGCGCGAATTCACGGGTGTAGGCACAGGAGAAATCACAGGCTGGGTGAGTCCCTGTTCGCGGGCATGGGGTGGGTTGGTTGGTTGCTGTGAGACGTGCGAACTTGCGAGCTGGGAGAACGACATTTCGTGGGCTCGAGTTGGCGGACGCTGCACTAGGAAAAGAAAATGCGTACTCGACACGAAGGTCGTCACCACCGTGTGTCCAATAATGGTCATCCGGAGGGAATAGAGAGGTCAAC